TTGTCTTTGAATTCAACTTGTAACTTTAATAAACTCTTTCGAGACTCAATTCGACGGACTGAATTGACTTGTAACTTCGATTCGCTTATTAAGACTCGAATTCTGGTATACTGTAGTACACTGACCAAAGTATCCCCCTTTTTGAGTACCCCATTCAAAATACCCGGGTATTTTACATAGCACTTTTTTTTTTGCCATGAATAATACCCTGGATATTTTATAATTACTGAAAGTGGAATTTTTGTATAAGACCCAGGTATTTTGTATGCGTAACTGCATCGATCACATTTATTGCATAATCAAATGTTTGGTTAATGTCTACACGTACGTATGTACGTTCTAAAATTAAAAATTTACTTACGCTCTAATAATTCAACAAGCTGCGTGTTAAATTATTTTAAAGTTAATTAAAGGCACAAGAATAAAGATCATAAATTCTTGTTTAAAAATATTGGTTCAAAAAATTCGTCTTTTTGAATTATTTAATTGTTTTGAGATCTTATATATGTAAATATATCTATACTAACTTTCACAGTAAGATTTTGACAGATCAATGCTTACATCTCAAATTTATAATTGCCAAAAAGAAAGTTTTATTTAACTATGTGGCAATGATTTTAAAGATGAATTTTAAGCAGTCACTGCTTCACAGATAACAGAATTGCAAGTTCAAGCACTGCCTATTTGGTCCTCATTTTGTATCGTACACTTTGGATAATTAATTTTTAAAGTATCATCATTATACAATTTTACAAAATTTCACCTCATATCTCTTATCATTTTTAAGGTTTTTATAAATTCATGAATTTATAAAAGCTGCCAATATTTATAGTTATCATAACGAAATTCCTGGTTTGATTCTGCAACAAAGATTTGCAGCCTGAATATTTCTCCCAGAACCTCTAAATGCTTTGTTGAGTTAGAAAATGATGAATGAATTTAAATCCACAAATGGCCCAATATCTTAATAAAATAAAATATTCAGATACTAATGAATTAAAATACAACTGTTAAAATAAAAAAATTACCAGTATATTATATGACTAATTTTTTCACTAGAAATTCTAAATGAAAAAATATAAGCATGACCAGATAAAATTTGATTTTATTTGATTTTATGAAATTTGATTAAGCAAAAAAAAAAATTTTTTTTTGTTTACAATTATAATACTGTACCTAAAATTTGATTAAGCAAAAAATAAACAAATTCCTAAAATTTAAATGTTGTTCAAGCGAACAGCTATCCAACAGCAACTCATTAAATTTGAAGTAGCAAAAGGTCAGAAATTTTTTTATAATCTCCTGTGCAGTTTTATTTCTGTCAATCCCAATCCTGAGCGACTGTTAATTCCTCATTTTCATTGTAATACTCATCATAAACTAACCCACTTCCATTTTCATCAACGTCATCTCCATTTTCATTATTATCATCGTTATTCGATTCTTCCTGACTTTCGATTCCTCTTTCTGAATTTACTTGATTCGTAACTTTCGTAAAGTCAAAAATTAAATCATCCTCGGTTCCATCCATCTCATTAGCGATCCCGCAACACTTGAAAGACATTCTAATCATATTAATATCGATGGCTTCCCAAGCCTTTTTCACCCAAGTTGTAACCAAAGAATAAGAAGGACATTTCATTTTACTGGTCTTAGTATATTCTTTGATCCCTTCGTCCATCTATTTATTATAAAAATTTCGCATCTATTATATTAAACAAAAAAAAAAGGATTGTGTAATTATTTATAATTATTTGATTGGTAATTATGCACCATTCGTAGGGTTATGTTACGAAAGTTACAAACTTACAATAAATGTAATTTTGCGTGAGTTTCAGTAACTGGATTTCATATAAATTTCACACTTTATATATAGCACTAGCACTATGAAAAACTTAACTAGCATTATTAAATACCGATGCATTAACTCTGCATTAAGTTTACTAATCAAATCGATGTGCATATAATCCAGCTAATCACATAATAATATGATCACATTTCTTACATAAAAAATTTACTGAAACTTATGCAAAATTACGCAAATTATATGTAATTTACAATCCTAACTCATCTATATATTAAATTTTACCTTTGATTTGAATGATTTGTTCATATAGATGTCAAGGGGTTGTAAACGAGATGTTAGACCACTGGGGATCAAAGCCAAATCAGTATTCTTTTCCAAAAAACACCATTTTATAGAGTCCATTTTATGATCAGCAAATGAGTCCAAATTAACAAAGAACGTGGATTATTCCCATATCATGCTCGTTTAGTCCAAACATTCTTTACCCACCTAAAAATAGCAATGCAATAAATAATAAAATAAATGTTAAAAAGAAATAACAATACCACAATAATTATTGTGCTTTGCAAAATTGTGTACTACTTATGATTATAAAATGATTGTGATTGTAATTGTGCCAATTTATCATAAATCTGGGTTTGTGTTGACTAGAAGCTAGAAATGGTTGTTAGCGATCACAATCGCAATTACAATCACTAAAAAAAGTTTGTCATGGGGTACGTAATTTTGCAAAGCGCAATAATGACAATATGAATGCAGCAAAATTAGTAAATCATTAACTACAGTTATAAGTTTTCACTTTGCAACACTTATATGTATGATAATTGACTAGTTTTATACTCTACCATAACATTTCATCCTCATTCATCCATCCATTAGGGTTTGCACATACAATAATGCTATCAGGAAATTCTTCACGAGGTACTTTAACTAATTTAAAAATAACTAAAGGTGGTAATTTAGTACTATCGGCCAAACAGGCCAAAACAACAGTAAAATTTGAATGTTCATGCCCAGTTGATAGAATTGATATGGTCTTAGTGCCTCTTTCTTCAATTGTAGTGTTGCTTGACATACTAAAAGCCACAGCAGTTTCGTCCATATTACCAATTAAAGATAAAGAATAGTTATATTTACGTCGCTTAAAAAGCACAAAAGATAAAAATTCATTTTGATCCTCAATATAACTCTCAGGGAGACGTTGGACAACAGTAGTTCACCTTCAGTTTACTAAACTATTCCTAGACATAAATCCGTCTACCCATTTTTGTGAGAATTTATTACCTTGTATTCCCCCATATTTTTCTTGATAACGAGATGTAGTACATAGAGAGTGGGTTTTGGCTTGAATCATATACTGGCTTACAGTTTTTTGTTGAGATCGAATATCTCGAAACCATTCAATCAATTCAGCTTCGAGTTCAGGATACTTCGGCCGGGCCCCAGGTGACAACTTTTGGATATAAGGTGCAACTTTTATAAGATCGGATTTTTTGCTTATCAATTCCCGAAGTTGCTTTGTTTCTATCCCAAATTCATTAGCGGTTGAATGTTTACTATGGCCTCTTTCATAGTAAGCAATTATCATTAGTTTCTCGCACGCTGTCCAAGTTTTTTTTTTTTTTTGAGTTACTCGAGCGCGTTGGGTTTTAAAGTTTCCATGAACCATTCTATTTATTATATTATGGTTTGTGCTAATAAGTACAGGTTCTCAGGTTTTACAGTGACTGTTGGTGGTG